TTCATTTTCACTTGTACTAATGAAACAGCTGTTCTTTCAAATTTGGCACACTTGAAGTGATTGTAATGAATAGTAATTGGACCAATTTTTGAGTCTCTTAGACCACCTCTATAGAGCCACCACCAGTGCAAAAATTCAACATTGAAATTGTTATAACTTTTGAACCCTTTGATCTAGAAAAATTAAACTTAGTACACCTGATTTCTCTCATCATGGCGAGCACAACCAATATATTTAACTAAGACATTACAGTTGTGGCCATTTTGAAAAGTACAGTATGCTACTCCTTTAAAATTTGACAGTTTTGAAAAAAAAAAAAAAAAAAAAAAACAAGTTTGTTCAAAAACTTGCTCAAATGATTTTTCAGACTGAGCTGCACAGAAATGATTAAAAATATTTTTTTTTTAATTCATCTGTGATTAAAAGTTATGATGTCGCAAACTTAATGAGGTCGACCCAAAATTGGTTCAGAAGCTATAGTTCGGCCAAACTTTGATCAATCGAAGCGAAAATTGGTACGCTTCATCCGAAGCATGGTCTGAGGGTCCATACCAAAGTTGGGAACAGCACCACCTATGGGTTATGAGATAAGAAAAATAGATATTTTGGCCAATAACTTTTGAACAGTTTGTCATAAATGTGGTAACAATGGATTCGTTGTGTCATGCTGAATCAGTGGATACCGATTTTTACAAACACCAAAATTTGTGTCTCTTCTCAGTGGCACAAAGGGAGTGACAAACACCTGACCCAGATATTATAAGTTTGATTCTCATGTTATACAACTTTAGAAGAATGTGCAAGATTATGTAATTTACAGCCAATTGCTGCAGTTCTAACTTCAACAACTCAAGTCTCCATAAAATTAGAACAAACCACTGTGTATGACTACCATGTTGTGTAAAAAAGGTTATAGCTTTAAAGATTTTCTAATAATTCAATATGTAGCAACTGTTTAACAATGGGAATTTTGATTTGAACAATGGGTAAATTGAATAAGTTTCCAAATCAAATTCTAATACATCAAATATGGCCAAAAGGTGCTTGGCCACGCAATTGCTCCTTGCAGCTCTCTCTCTCTATAAGGTCACAACCTGATAAAGGACAGTGGAGACATGCAGCATGTGGAATAAGCTTGCACAGATAAGCAGTCAACATGGAGCTGGAAGCACATGCATTTAAATACATGCCCTAGATACCTAAATAAGCCTGCCTCAATTGCTGGAAATCGTATTCAAAGCAGTCAGCTTGGGGATCCATACCGCTAACCTAGATAACTTTTTGACTTTCAATAATGCTAGAAGGTATCTTAGAGCATGGAGCATTATTGAGTGTCACGTAAATCTTGTGCCCCCTGCATTATTACTCCAGAAAGATGAGCCATTACATCTGTACATTTCTTTAGGGCAGCAAGACCCGGTGATCTGAATATATCCATTCTGAATAAAAATGACTTCTTAAATAGGTGAAAGGATTGCTGACTGATGATTTGGTTTGCACTCTTTATAATAAACTATACTAGGCACTCAGATGTCTTGTATAATACAGTTTGTGTATTAAAAAGATTAAGAACACAAATTTCATTAGAAAGGTTATTAATCAAATTCATTAAAGTGTCACCCCTCTGCTAGAAGATGTAGTCCATGACAGAACGGAACGTTGCTATGCAACACAATAACAATCGGCTACGGGTGCTGCACTGTGATATGGTAAACAGCTGTGTCGCGTCATAGCAGGTAATATCAACTTCAATCCTTCCCCGAAAGCACAGGGCTTAGGCCCCGTCCACACTACTGCGTTTGCGTTTAAAAACGGAGACCTTTTGCTACGTTTGCACCTCCCGTCCACACTAAAACGGGAAAAACGAAGACCTAAAACGGAGAAGTTTAGAAACGCTGCAGCTGCGTTTTGCGTTTTGAATCTCCGGAGGGCGTTTTAGTGTGGACGAGACAAAACGGAGAACTTCAGAAACGCTGACGCAAAGACTGACGCTTGGCTCTATGATTGGGTGTTATCAGTCATGACGTATCCTTCCCTGATTCGTCATTCACTGTTTACACCGGCACGCGCATGCCCAGTGTTGGTGAATGGTCACGTGATCCACGTTTTCAGTCATTTTAATGTGGACGGAGATCGTTTCTAATACGCAGATAAAACGCTGGTGTGGACGGAGATCGTATTCGTTTTAATTCTCCGTTTTTAAACGAAAACGCAGTAGTGTGGACGGGGCCTTAGATTCATCACCAACTTTCGCCCCTCTAGCAATTGTGTAGTCCAGTTTTGTTTGATCCAGTACAGACATTCTTTTTTTAAATGAAATTCACATTTATAACACTTTATTTTCTTGTTGTATAAGCTTAAAGAAAGCTATGTAAAGCTCCAGCATGAATGTTTGTAATACAACGGTAAATCTGACGCAACAATTTTGTGTTGCAGTTTTCATTCTTCACTAAGTGGGGTACTTAACTCAATGATTGCATAATACTTTCATGTTTAATTAGTTATTCTTTTTTTTCTACTTATAAAGTATAATAATAATAATTCATTACATTTATTTCTTGGCACTCAAAGGTGGAATCTCCAAAGGTGGAATCTCCGTTGTTGGAATAACCAACAACGCCAACCCTACTTAAGTTTTCATGGATTCCCGACTGAATTGAGTTTAAGGAAGAAGTGGATTAAAACTTTAAAATAACAAGGTAGCACGTTTATTTGCAGCCGGCACTTTTGTGAATCAGACTAATTTACCAGGGATGACGTATAAATAAACTTAGTAGAGTCTGTCATCAGTTCGCAGTGAGATCGGTAATTCAACGGAAGTGGCAGATCACTGAATCCGGAAGTACTACGTATCAGCGTGATAATCGCCTATTGGTATCACCAAAAGGATTATTAGGAACACCTGTTCAATTTCTCATTAATGAAATTATCTAATCAACCAATCACATGGCATTTGCTTCAATGCATTTAGGGGCGTGGTCCTGCTCAAGACAATCTCATGAACTACATGCAACTACATGTTACATGCAACTCTCCTAGTTTTGTAAATGGAAAAAAAATATATACATTTCAACAAGTTCTTACTGACACATCGCCAACTCGTAAAATCGAAGCTCAAAGACAATCCAGAGTTTCCCAGCTGTAAATGTAGTGGAATTTATTTGCATTCAACTCGTAAAAATTCTATCTTTCTGACATTACATGAACACACCATTAGCGTATGGTCAGCTGAAGCAGTTCCTTATGTGTTACTTTTTAACATTACAAAAAACAAAGGAATCTCTGATTTGTTGTTAGGATTCATTGAGTTTCATTTGTTCTGCTACATAGAGAAGAATCACTACAGAAGAAAAGGCAGGAGGACAGTGTTTAGCTTAGAATGCTATATTTTGTCAGCCTGTGTCAACAGAATACTGTGGTCTTAAAGTGGGTTTTGTTGGCTAGTTTGTAAAGTGATTAATTGCAGGTTCAGTTCTGCCAGTCCACGTCATGCTTGTGATGATTAATTGCAGCTCTTCAGAAGATACAAGAGAGAGATCTAGAGTCTACTTCAGCCACTGTTTGAAAATAAGCAAAGCTGAGCAAACTTATTAATGTCCCTTCAGTGAGAAACAAAGGCACATCAGCAGCTGAAGTCATTCTGCGTGCAAGTAACTCATGGCACACAGATGCCTACAGATTTGCTGTCCTTGCCTATTTTCTTTCAGCGCCTGCGGGGTTTTCCTTTGTATTTCTTTTTTATTTCTCTTTCTTCTGGAAACAAACGAGATTACTCATAAGATTGAAATAAGAAACTATTGCATGGCTAATTTTAGACAGGTAACGTTGTGTTTATTGTTGGCATCCTCATGTGCAGATGATTTGAAATTCTTTAGTGCTGAAATGCTGCCAGTAATTCCATCTAAACCAATTCACTTACTCTGAACAGTTTTAATCCACCTAAAGATTACATCTGCAATTGTTTTCTTTCTCTCAGTGAAAGTAAGTCATTGTTAGTCTTAGACAGTATGTGCTTTGTTCCAGTGTATTCAACCATGACAGAAGCCTTGAGATCCATTAAATAGCAAAGACATAAACGATGGTGCATTATTCTCTCTAAAGCATAAAGATTATTTAGATATTGAAAGAGTATTTGTCCCAGATATGATCAATATCACATTACCTCAGAACAAAAGCAGAGCTGTGTAGGTTGGGTGTAAGTTATAGAACATTTGCTGCAATGTGAATATTTATGGAAAATGGCTGAAATTATTCCTGACTTGTTTAGTGAAACTACTTTCTCTCTTTTCTACTTTCTCTGTTGTCTTTAAACGGTTCAGAATCCTTTACTTTAGTTTATGGTCTTATTCTCACTATTAACTAGTTGCTTATGCATATTAGGATATTGAACTTAACTACATTACTAACCATTAATAGGCAGTAATTGGGAGTTCACATAGAGAGAATTGGACCCTAAACTAAAGTGTGACCGAGTTTGGTGGATATGGTTTTGGAAAAATTATTAAATAGAAATATACTTGTTAATATACATATACATTTTAATTATATTTTTATGCTGGTAACTAACTGTAATCCTGCATAATTAATGACTGCACTAAAACTTGGAATATCAAATATTTGAATCAGTTAATAATTGAATGGATGATGCAAAACTAAATGACAAAACAGATAAATCCCTTTGATTTCTCGATGCTGTCTGTGACAGAGCATCTTCATCGTGCACACATATAATGCTTAATATCTGCTGATAGCAAAGCTGCTTTTTTGACTCGTGCAATATTTCTGGGTCACGGCCCTTGTTGCACACATATTCAGACTAAGGACTTGAAGCCTGAGTGCCACATTTGTCGCCATTACGGCATGTACTAATCATGACTGCTGGAATTACCAGAGCTGTCAGTCAGTTCCCAACCCCCCGCTTCATTAACTTTCTAGGAGTCTGTAATATTCACCTAGAGCATGGGATTCGGAAACATACCGCAACAGATACAGTGATCATATAAAGTGGCAGAAAGAGCCTTTATTAGAAAAATGAAACTTTGACTTATATACATGTTTTTACATCTTGTAACCCAGCACACGTCCTGCAACCACGCTGTATTGACATTTCACAAGTCACATATCAGACCTGTTCCTTTAATATGATCTACATACACACACAAAAAAAAGCAGAGAACAAAAAAAAAGAATAATTCTGAACACAATATTTTAAACGAAATGTACAGGAGATATGTTTAAACCGCTCCAATGATTTAGTACTTTCTCATGCAATTTGCCGATAGCAGAAATGATTTAATTAATGCAAGTTTGTGTCAGCTTTTATGTAAGCGATTACTTCCAACTTACTTTAAAAAGTTCTTAAGACATTTCAGTACGCACACAAGTGATAATGCTTCGTTATAAAATAACATTTAGGCAGCAGGTCACATGTTTCAGTGATAAATAGGTTATAGTCACATGACAATCCCCACTGCCCCAGTATAAAACACTGTTCTAAAATAATTTCTACTTTTAATCACATAAAATATGAATGCAAAGCTCACAAGAGTGATTATTAAACAGGAAACACAAGTGATTCGTTTCAAACAAATGTTTCTTTCTTTCTACTGTGAGTCTGCTACGTTCAAAATCTTTGTTTTTACATGGAAGCCAGCGTTTCCTTTAATAAGTGCAAGTATTCCAGCAGCTCAACAACCAAACAAAGAATTAAAAAAAAATGCCACTTTTAGGGTCAGTACTCACTAAAACGCTGTCTGTCCTGTCTGATTTCCTATTAAATTAATCAAACATTTAAAATACCCATCACAGGAAATGCATTACAGAAATCACGAGGGGCGTTTGGTTTTAAAACTGAAGGTGAACAATGATAATCCTCATGTCAGTAATGCAATGATAAAAATGAGCCGCATGACTGACAGTGAGCATTTACAAGTTGTTTCCAAGCTGCCATTTTTGCCTCTGCAAACGTCTTCCTGAGGGTTATAAAGCGGCCTGAGAACGAAAGGGAGCGAGCTGCAGTCGACACAGTCATGCATGAGGACTCCCGCTCCTGTCTTTAGCCACCTGCCCCTTCTCACTGTGCCTTGTGTGGCTCTGGCAGATGTAATTTGAGCTGAGGTGATTTCTCCTTGAAACTACCTCGATGGGAACACAGCCAATGATGCAGTGACAGTACACCAGCTTGCCTGGCAGACAAAAAAGGCCTATCTTCTTACTGCACTGCACTTGGCAAAACATCAATTTAGGAAAGAATAGATTTCAAATGGTGTCCATGTGGATGCAGAGATCTATTGTTGTGTTAAGTAACTGTCTCACTTCCCTGCTTCGCTTTTTGATAATCTGCTCTACGCGGCCATAAAGACTGCCTCAAAGGGAAAGAAGATTGGTTGTATCTTTCAGTCTAATGGATTTTCATAAAAGACAAACTTGCGGTGATGGAGGCATCTCTGTTATCTACAAAGACTTTTAGAGTGTAAATATTCAGCATACAAACTGAGTGCCATTAGCCGTTGATCCTAAAACTCCCTCTCTTCTTGATCCACAGCATATAAACGTACCCAAACACACATCTCCGCTGAAAGAAGTGGAGTGTAACAAACATGCAGAACGAAACAGATTAACCCTTAAACGGCAGTTAAGGTGTAATTGAGAAAGTACCAACTTTTCTCTGTGACTTCAAAATCCTCCTTTGTTGATTTACTCAACCACTTTGCCTAGACTAGCTCATCTTATGGAAATAATCAGCATCTGAGCTACTTTAAATTCACAATTGTGCACTATTCTATGAGAGGTAAATGAAACCAAAAATATAATATAATAGATTTTTCAATAGACTACAGATGGCTTTCGCCCAGCCAAAAATTGCTACATAAAATAATCCCACACAGTTCATCTGTTTCCATTTGCAATCAATACCTGACCTGCGCTGTTCCACTCGAGCCTCCGATAACCTTCGACAAAAAAACAAAAATGATGAAGTAAAAAGTACATTTTGGTTTTCAAGAAGTTTTTTGTGTAAAAATCCCAGAAGTTTGGCGGCCTAAACGACAGGCCAGAGTGGCCACAGAGCTTTGGTTCATGAGCAGGATGGATTTGTACCCTGCAGTCTCATGACGACCCCTGCACAGTATGTCTATGAGCAAAGACCAGTTCTCCTCACACTGATCTGCTTGATCCAAGCTCACCTTCAAGTGGATTGACAGTATTTACTAAGAAAAAAATCTGCCTCAATGCCTGTAGCCCCCACTCTCACCCCAGCCCCGAAATGTTCAAGCTTACAAAAACTGCAGGGCTACAATCCCTGATAACAAACTGCATGGAGACTTTGAAATCTCGAAAGGTGACGTTTCGATGCAGACCTTGTGAGTGATGTCATTTTTCGTACGTATGCTACAGAAAACGAGTGCTACTGTACAGACCTGTGAAACCCACACAAAAAATATTGTTTACTCTGTATCATCTTAACTTTCATGAATTATTTGAGTAAGAATTTACAAGCAATATACAAGTGCCTTATATTCAAAATAGTTGCTAAGTCTTTGAGGAATTAAAAAAAAAGCTCTATTCTTACAGCAAACCATAGATAATAGAGAAAATCAAGAAGACGTCATATCTTTGGAGGGATAGCAAACCCGAAAAGAGCAGACCCGACTTTTTTCTCTCTCTCGCTCTCTTTACAGGTTAAATCTGGCTATATGTGACAGGTAAGAGACAGAAAGCATAGCTGGTGATGTTTTCACCCGCTAATCGAGGAAGAGCAAGGATATTCACCTCGCCTCGCAAAGGATATGAAATCAATGCAGATGTAGCTCTGTGATTGATAATAGAGGCTAATGCCTTGCTTATTTCCCCAAAACTGCAGCTCTGCAATATGAATAATCATTTTCTTTTCATTTATATGCTATATTTGCACCCTGTTACAAATAATTTGTGATCATAACATCATAACAAAAACATAGAAAGAGTTACAATTGAGTTGCATGCCATTATTATAATTCATGTTCATGTAATCAAAATACATTTTCCTTAAAGACTGGGGTTATTACAAGGGTGAAAAATAACTGAAAAACAAGTTGCAAAGAGTAAAAACTATGTATGGCATATATGATTACAAGACCTTGATATTTTACATGTGCATACGCACATTAGCTTCTTAAAGCAGCACTTCATATGTTGAATATGTTCATGATTGTGACAGTGATGACATATTCAAGATATGTGTACAGTGAATAATGTCACATTATTGGGGAAGATCAAAGAAAGCAAATCTGATATGAGAGTGGAAGCTGCTACAGCAGTCATGTCATAACATGGTTATGTCGATAAACATCCTGTTTTCCAACAAACGTTGAAATCGTAAACATAAAGCTTGTTTCAAAGATGGCTGAAAGATCCCCTCTCTATTGTTCACATAAAAGTGACTGCAAAGGAAGTCCTTGGACAACCATAGCGGAGTGGAGGGAAACATGCGTGAATGTACCTTTAGGTGGTGGTGCAGAGAAAACCTTACACAAAATGACACAGAACCATCCTGAGGTATTTGATCTAATACACGATTTGGCTATGTGTTCTGATTCACATTGCATGGAGTTCATCGAGTGTGTTCGTACAGTATAAAGTTTAGTAATAGGTCAGCAGAACAAAGATCTTGAGTGGTAGTCCTCAGTGTGAATAGCGCGCTGACCGTGTTACGGACTGCAACAGAAAACCAATCCTCTAGTTCAGACTTCAAGCTTCACACATGGCCTTCGTTACATTAAATGAGTGGATTGCGACAGCGAAGCAAGGCTCCGCTGAGCTACAGTAAACAACAGTCTTCGAGAAGTGATGCTCTGATTCGGTTTCACAGTGTACAGTGACGAGATGGAAGTATTGAACGAAATAAATGCACAGCAAACTTCCATCGAGAAACTTCCCCAAAATCTTGAAATGGAGGATCGACACAATATTCCTAGTCGAACAACCTACATACAGGTCAAGTTTTCATTGCACAGATGGCCACCTCAGCTATCAAATGAAATCACCTTAATGTTAGTATATCTTCAAAACAAATCAGACAAGAAAAGAAACACACATGCAAAATAAATCTACTCCTGACAGTAATATAGAAGTTCTGTTTATAAAGCAGAGGTGGGCTGTTAACTAATGATTATTGTGCTACCAAATAAGATAGAGAAGAGTCTAAATTCTACATAGGGATTAGAATGCCAAAAATCCCAAGTCTATATTAATAAAAGCAAAAATGCAATTGCTGAGTGCAAATGAATGAATTAAATACCCTTGCTTGCCTTAAATTCAGGAACTACTCCAGCCACAGTCTGTCTGATACAGGTACGCTCTTGTCACATGCAGTGTGGGGCCAAATACCTGAAACCCCACCCTAGGATCTGTTTCGGTCCACCATGGCTTCGGGTCGGACTTCGAAGCAGTACATCTGTCCTAGCACTCAGCGTTTTGAGTACACACTAGCACTGGGCCAAGTGTGGGGGATAATTAACAACTTCCATGCTGGACCACATTTTATTGGCTTACGCCCAGAAGGCATCTTAAAATGCTGAAAACCTTTGGAAAGCGCTCGTATAAGAAGAGCGCTATCTCGGGTACTTTATAGATGTAGGTGAATGTGGCATTCTAAGTGAGTAAATAGTTCAACTTCACAAAAAAAGCATTAAACATCTGACTCGAGACTAGGTATTTTCTTATACACTCGTCTATTGCTAAACTGCGAAGAGTTGAGAACCCGGGGAGCTGAGTATGCACTAGTCTTGTTGGCTACATAAGGCATTACATGCTCTGAAATGTACATGTCATTGGGTATTTGACCATCCCTGGAACAGTATGAAGTAGTGGACTTCACGGAGGACCTCAGATTGTTCTCGTTCCTGTTTTTGATGGGAGCCAACTGTTTGTAAATATCTGAGGAGCTCCTGCCGTGGACCAGGCGAGTATCGTCCCGTATAGATTGCATGAAGGGGTTGTCCGAGGGGTGATCAGGGTAAAGTGACTTACTACGCTTGCTTTCCTCCAGGCTTCGGTTAAAGAGCATGGACCTACTGCCAAACAGTTTGTCAGCCTTGATGTTAAACATGTTTGCATAAGGGCTGTCCTCCAGGAATCGGTCCTTCTCTTTTAGGCTGACGCTCCGCGCCGGCCGGTTCAGGTCAATCTCTTTGGGCTTCTCGAGCATGATATTGTCAAAGGAGTGCTGACGGCTAAGCCTCAGTCTGTTCCTCCTCTGTACGTGTGGCCCGTCTGTCTGAGGCCAGTAGTGGCTAAACATGTCATCGTGGTGCATGCTAGGGCTGATCATGGCCTCCTGCAGCATCTGGTCCTCACTGATGTCGTACAGGTTGCCCATGTGGATGCAGGCCTCACACCGGTTATATGGCGAGCGCGCGGCAGCATACGGCCCTGTGTTGTAGTTGGGTACCTTGGAAAGACAGCTCCGGCAATGAGTCTGTTTAAACCGGTCGTTGGTTTCGTGCGGACTGAGGTTCTTCTCCTTCAAACTGTAGTGTTTGTTGTACGTGTTGTCTGGCAGGAGGTCAGATTCACTTTGATGCATGGGGCTGCTGTTGAGATGGATGATGGGCTGGTCACATTTCCTGTAATTGTCGTTGTGGTCTGAGTAAATTTCCCCAAAATCCAAATCGTCGGTTGTAAAGGCTCTGCCTTCCCTGTAGTGTTGTGGCTCTGAGTGCAGACTCAGCTCCCGGTCAGAGTCTATGGTGTAGATTTTCTCCCGGCCCGCTCCGCCCTGCTTATTTTTTAAGTAGGACAGCTCTACTTCGCTGCAATCCCTAGGGTATTTTGACGTCGTCGATCTTTTTTTTAAGTTATCCTTGGGCTTTAGGTGCTTGTTATTGTCTGGATCCTTGTAGGAGGTGGCCCTGCTTGAGCAGTCAGAGATATCCGAGTGTGCAGCATCCTCTGGCAGGTACCTCTGACTCTTCATGGACAAACGGGGGTCCAGGGTATCAGGCCCCTGTGTTTGACGCAAAGTATCCACAGATTTCTTCCACAGAGCTCGGGGTTTTGCATTGGTCTGGGCTGTGTCTGCGCTCACCGCCACCTCTACAGTATTAGGGTTTGATTCATTGAGGGTGAGGGGATGCTGACCCTGGAAGATGTAGTTGTTCAGATGGTCCTTATGGCGGTTGGACAGATATGACTGCAAGTCGCTGGAGTCCCCGTATATATCCTTTTGGGCATAGCTGCGATTGTCAGTGTAGATGAAGTTCCCTTTCTCCGCCATCATGTCCATGATCATGGGGCTTGCCGAATGCATGAACTCACTGCCGCGTTTAGGAGAGTTGATCCTGGAGCCGCTGAGATTGGTCATATTAGTCATCTGCTTGGCAGACTTGATAAGCTTAAGCATGTTGGACTGGGGACTGAAGTCCAGGTCAGATGACTTTTTCTTCATGTCGATATGGACACCATGAATGCAACTCCATATACCCTATGGAAAAAAAAAGTGAATAAACCTCAATATTCATACACTGACCCTAGTGTCTGTGAATAATATGACTTTCAGTTATTCTTACAGTATTACAAGACCCCATTATCTGATTTTACTGCAGAGACTTGCAAATGTACTCATCAGTGAGACTATGAAGTTCTTATTTAGGGCATAGATTGATGCAGTGACAAAGATCCCTTCAAATTTTAAAACAAATTGCTAGTGGGTTTATTTTGAAAAAATATCATGTCCTTTCACAAGCTCTATGAATCTCTTTTCACCAGTAAACATTCTATCAGTTATGCTTGAGTTCATCTACACCAACATTTCATTACCTTAAAGATGTTAATCAAAGGCACCATATTCTCACATTGACAGCATATACACAAACCCATCTGGGATCTTAACTAAAGAAAGACATTCTTAACGTTTGGCGGTGCTAGAATCAAGCTGTCAAAACAGACTGCTGCATTGTCATTTTAAGCTCTGTGGCCATGGAACCAGTGGTGGAAAATAAAATCTCTGACAAACTTTTTCTTTCAAACACTGGCCATGTCAGGGTAAATACTGAGCTCAAATGCCAACTGCTGACACTGTCAAAATTTAGGTTGAGTGATATTAGCTGTCCATAGGCTGTCTCTACTGTCAAGACAGGAAAACTCAGGCAGAGGACATCCTCTGTGTGCATGAAATTAAAATCAATAACTGTGAGGGTGATCCAATACAACACCAAAACCAGGGTCTTCAGCAGCTGGGGGTTAGACCCTAGGGGGTCTATTGCCGTAATTATAGCTTGATCTCAAAATAATTTGTGAAAAGTTTTTTATTGTCCCTCCCACATTAAAATTTACTAGGTAAAGCTGAAATATACTGTACAAGTATGAATCTTCCCATCAATAATATTTACTATTATTTATTATTATTATTATTATATTTTATTAAATATAATGTCTTAGTCAAGATAACATTACGTTTTTTTTTTTAACCCAAAAAAAAGAGAGAATAAAAGAAGCCTTACCCTGCTGATAGAGAAGAGCAGGCCGGGTGTGCCTGAGCAGACGCCAGTAAAGCAGTATCTGAGTCTCCAGTAGAACAGGTGCTCCCAGACAAAGGTAATGAGGCTGAGACCCATTGCGGTTGCCAGCATGTAAAACACTCCAGCCATATTGTCCACATCCAGCTGGCTGCTCATCACCTCGTTCTTCTCATTGTGGCAGATCCCAGTCAGCCACTGAGCTTCCAATTCCTCCATCTCACCTGTGGAGATATGCACATGCCCAAGCCCACGTCATCAATCAGCTCAGTCTCCCATTTCTTGTAGACTTCAGTGGGCCACACTGGTACCGTTCACAGACATATCCTCCTTTTCCAGCACTCCCCATGCAATAACATGTCAAAGTGAGGATCAATAAAATTATACACTGAAGCTTCAGCCATATGTTAGCACCATCTGAGACTTTTTTTCTCTTTCTCAACAAGGTGCATCTGCCAGGTGGATAATTCTGTCATTTGTCATGCTCTCCATATAGCACTATACTGCGAAACAGCATATAGTATGAATAGAGAAAATACTGCAGATGTCTATGAAGGAAGAAATCTGAACAAAAATAAGGCTAAATAATGTAACAGATGGACATTGCAGCATGAAACCATCACATCCTACTTCCGGATTTACTACACTGCTTAAAAACTGTTTAGGGCAGACATTTGCATGTAGTTAGTTTAGCAGATGCTTTAGTAACAAAATTAATTTAGAATGAACATTAAATTAATCAATGAACATTAAATTAATTACATAATTTATTATTCAATAAATAAGTTAAAATTTTTATATATCCACTGAATTATAATAATTTTTAATAATTAAAATATAATTGAATTAATTATATTACAAATTATTATGGCTGCTCATTGTATGGACCTCCAAGGCCATAACCTAGGTTCACTACCTGTATATGTCTTTCAATATATATATTTAATGAGAATTTGCATGGAAAGGTCAATAGTACTTGTACAACAGTGAACTCAGTGGGTTTATAGGGATTTCAAGCTGAAGCTGCCCATTCTAAAAAGCACAGCATTCTGGACCGCTGCCAGGCATGTGTGCACTTACCATCACCAATAATAGCGAGAATGGCCAGATCCACCGGGCGCTTCCAAAGCGATCCTTTCTGCAGGGCAATGCCATAGCCAGTGGTAGCAAAGATGTAGCCACTGCCAATGGTCACTAATTTACAGCCCTCATCCCTGCCGGCCATGTAGTTCAGCACAGCTGCGTCATATATGAAGGCATCAAGTTTGCTGGTGAAAGGAAAGAGCACAGACACTATTCAGATGGTAAATAGAGAGGTTAAATGTTCTGAGTCCTTCTCATGCCTTAAAACCACTGTCATGAATCATATAACACATTTTAACTTGTGATGATGTAGACACAGAGTCACAAGTTTAAGGTGAGAGACAGCACTGGGTGCAATAACATCACAAGCAATGGAGAGAAACAGAGCAATACAAGCTATATGATTGACTTTGGTTTAATTTATTTATTTAATTGTAAGCCAGGGATTGTCAAACTGGTGTCTGTAAGAAGAAGAAATTATGAGGAAAAAAACAAAAAAAAAAAAAACCAAGAAATGTATTTCAACAGTAAAAAAAATAAAAACAAAGCTGCATACTTTCCAGAATTGTTTGTTTATATAACCCTGCATCGTCTGCCTTGCCATTGTTGCTTGTTCACTGGGGCTTGTGAGGAACAATTCTCTGAAACTGCTCCTTTGGAATAATATTTGTTGTGAAATGTGCAGTAAATTTGAATTGAAAATATAACAGTGTCACACTGGGTAGAAAAAGATATGTATTAACTTATTATATATTAACTGTAAATATATAAATATTTTAGTCCAGATCTTTTCTTTTCTCTCTCTCTCTCTCTCTCTCTCTCTCTCTCTCTCTCTCTCTCTCTCTCTCTCTCTCTCTCTCTCTCTCTCTCTGGCTATAGTACAAAGACAAACAAAAGCCAATTATTTTGTTTTGGAAACAACATGCTATCTTTTTAATATTGCACATTTTTCTCACAGAATACTTAATTGCCTTTTTAGGAATGGTGTCATCATATATATGGGGGTCTTTTGACATTAAAAAAAAATAAAACAGCACACACAAATAGAGAAAGGGAGATAAAGAATAGAAGGTCCATATCTGTCAGTCATGTTCATAATTATGTCAAAGACTAACAAATGCATTCTCACATGGGAGCCCAAATCACCTCTGAGTTGTAGAAGAAATGCCCAATGGAATTGGGGAGTGGAATCTGCATACCAAGCCACTACCCCGTACATAAGGGTATAAGTTTGCGGCACGTATCCACTCATTCAGATTTTTGTGTCAGAGCCGAGTGGTTGCGCACAGTGATCACTGTCTTCAAACTGCCTCACAAAGAGCATTTTCCTGATCTAAAAGAGCTTGAATTCGAGAGTAGGTCTCTGTCGCCTCATTCAGCGTTGTTACACCAAAAGAGAATTGGACTATGCTTCCCCAGTGTTCCCCAAAACTGGTCATGGCTGAAAAAAAATAGGAATAGAGAACTGAAGCACTCTTCCCATAGTGTAAACATACTAAAGGAACAACAGCTATGATCATCTCCATGGTAAGCCTTGTCCCTTCCATCTCGTTGACATAGAGGCCTGTTATTCTTTGGGCTTACGTGGGGCACTGGTTAGGTTATGACTGTATTATAGCAGTTGTATGAGTCCAGCTTGCCAGCATCTGTGTCTCCAACACTCATCACACAGTTCAGAGGCTGTGGCGCTTCCCATAGGGGCCCCATTTTTCAGTCTTCGACATAACGTCGAGTGTGGCTAACATTTACGGAACATCTTCCTGATGGAGGGAACAAAGACATTATGTCACTTCTGCCACAACCCTGAACCCCCCTGCTGAATGGCTGGGATCCCTGTCTCGGCTCATCAACATAAACCTGAAGACCTGAGGGAATGGATGAGTGGAGTGGCTTGGCATGCAAATTCCACTCGTCAATTCGATTGGCTGTTTTCAAAGGTGATTGGGTCTCTCAATTGAGAACCAATTTTTCAGTCTTTGATGATGTAAGCTATTTTATTTTCGCTTTATTTCAATTAATGATTTTTAAAATTGATTTTGATTAACAATAATAACACTGTGAACAGATAATCTATTATTAAAAACTCAACTGAACATCACAGTCAAAGCACAAAAGAAACTATACACAAACTATACAAAAAAATTTTTTTAACATGTTGATCCCTAGATAAATAAAGACTAAATTCTAAACAAGGAAGTTTGAGCTTCTTCATTCAAAGCCATATGATCAGCTCAAGACAGAAATCTCCTACGAAATTTGTCTCAAACAGCAAAAACGTGAAAAACTCCCACTGTGTGCACCCGACTTTCGACCCCACCTACAAACTGACATTTGGAACCATGGTGGCTGCTTGTCAAACTCGATCTCTCTGTTGGAAAATCCTTTGTCTAAGACTCATTAGTCTGGTTGTCTGACATTTCAAGAATGTCAAACGTAACTCAGGGATCACGCTGACATCCAGTAGATTTGCTCAATGATTCTTTTGTAACGGTGCTGGCTGGATCTACAGTATAAGTAGTGATATGCTGAGCTGCAAGAAATGATACAGTGTACAACCAGTGAAAATCAACGACATTTTATTAATATGCTAAAATGCAATGTATTATTGTGCATTTGCTGTTCACATCCACAAATAAGCCTATACAACAGCACAGTTGTGCTGCCATTTAGAGAGATAATGAGAGTTGTTTAATATTCCTTTGCTGCTGATCTACTGTTCTTCTCTTTCACTGTACTCCCTAATATTCAGAAGGCAGTATTGCTTGTAATTCATGAATTCGATTAAACTGAATCGTCTTAGTAACCAGAAAAATTGACAGAAAATGAGGGGTGAGGGGTTTCAAAAACTAGGGCCATGCAATTATCACAGATTTTATTTGATCCTTTTCATTAAAAAGAGTTAATTTTGCACTTTTGTTAATGTTTATTTTGTTCTCTGTCCCAATATGCTGCTTTAATTCAGCTGTGACCAATTTATAGTTTAGAGTTTATAATGATAATAGTTTATAATTTAATATGAACAATTGTTTTTGTTAACAAAGATAAAGCTGAAATAAAATAAATGTAAATATTACATTAAAATATTAAAGTTAAAACAACTAAACGTACTAAAATGACTAAAACCGAAAATAAAATAAAAATATTTATAAATACCAAATATAATGTAAGTAATGCTAAAATAACTGTGTTCCTCACACAAAGCTATTGTATGAGTTTTGAAGACATTTTGTAACTCGCCAGCCTTGATAGTGGCAAGGGAAATGTACATTTTGTGTTCTACTGAAGAAGAAAAAAAAGTCATAATGACACAATCTTCATTGTTGGGCAAACTAATCCCATTAATAATAGCCCTGCAAGTTTAAGGAAGCATGGTCACTCACTCACTATTTCAACCATTCTGCTCAGACTGACAAGACAACCAGTGAGGGTGCAATATACATACCCGGTCTTCAAGCTGACTAGTGCATCATTCACCCCGGTCTGATGGTACTTCACCATGTACTGGTGCATGTCGGGGTAATTCTTTCGGATGTTTCTCTCTGTACTGCCGTTCGGGACCGTTCCAAAGCGGAAAGGAGGGGAGTAGGAGTAGGGGCTCTGAAACTAAAAGTTAAAAACAAAATAAACAATCGATAAAAGAACAACAGGAAATAAAAATTATTTTATGTTTACAAAACATTGAGTTGTATCACATACACTCCAAAAATACTACTTCTAATGAGAACAAAAAATGGTTTTACAAGCCAAATATTTTAAAGTTCATGGACTTTTAATTCTCTAATACTTTTAAAACCTATACACAGAAGCCATAAAATACAGTAGTGTTTGAATGTGTTTGTTTGTTGACCATTTGACCAGAGTTATGCCACTTCATGTCTTTTAGAGAACTGACATTGCCTGTCTTAAGTTATTATACCATTAATTCTATATTACAACCCAAATAAGTGCCCTTTTTGTCTGGAAAAAGTAGCTGAGGAGCTCTTCTCGAGCCAGTCTACACCCGCTACTCTCCCTGTACTTGACTCAGTATGGTTGTTTATTTTCACTGGGCAGCCATGGTAATACTTAAAGGACAAGTTTGGTGTTTTACACTTAAAGCCCTGTTTTAAGATCGTTTCTGATGAAATAGCATGGTTAAGATTGAAAGTTTCTGTTTCTGTGGTTGCACAATTATTATTATTTTTTTGTCATTGTCTTTTGTTATTATGCTCAATGCTAAATAAAAAACGTAATTTAATCCTGTAACATCAAATCTGAATTTTCAGCATCATTACCCCAGTCTTCATGTCATGTGATCCTTCAGAAATTAATCTAATATTTTGACATTTATTACAACGATCAATTATCAACATTTATTATTATTATTATTATCAATGTTGAAAACAGTTGTGCTGCTTAATATTTATTTATTTATTTATTTGTTGTGGAGATTATTTAATGAGTAGAAACAACAGCATTTAGAAATAGAAATCTTTTGCAAAATGCTTTACTGTCACTTTTGATAAATTAAGGTTTAATTTCTTTAAAAAAAAATCTTTCTGACTCCAAACGTTTGATTGGTGGTATTATATAAATTGTTTTACCTTGTTGTCACTTAGACCTGTCACTTGGTCCACAAATTCCTCCTGGATCATGAAGGCAGCCAGGTTAGCAGTGTAGCTGGCCAGGAAGATGACAGCAAAGAAGGCCCAGACGGACACTATGAATTTACTGGTGGTGCCTTTGGGGTTTTGCACCGGCACAGAGTTGTTAAATACCAGGCCCCACAACAGCCACACTGCTTTCCCCATGGTGAAAGACGGTCCGTGAGGGTCTGCGGATGACATGTTTTCATTAGCATCCTTCATTTGTGACAAATGTGTTGCAGTGTGCCTTTTTCAGTGCTTTGATTTTGTAAATAATATATTTTCCACTCTGCATGGTCATAAGAGTTCTTGCAAATATTAATGACAACGTACAGCACCCTACTGCTCAGCTATTAATCATTATCTTTTTGAATAGTTCATTGTTTTCAAATAAGCAGAACTGCATGCAAGAGTTAACAGTGGAACACTGGGGTAAATACACAGAAGTGGAGCTGGAAACGGTTTGTTTGTTAGGTGGGTGTATAACTAGACAGCTGATTTATCTTTAGATTTATTTTTTCCTTTTGAAAAAGGAAAAATCTTTAAGATTTAAATGAGTCATCTAACAAGAGAAGAAATGCTTTTTAGTGCCACATAACAAAAGCACTCCAAATGAGATTACATGAATTAAATCTGATCCACTTGAATCAAATGAAAATGAATTGAACTTTCTTAAACTAAGTCAGAACCTGAAACCACTCAGCACTGAAAACAGTGAAATTGAGTATAAATTAAGCCTTTAAAGTTTGCAAAAGAACACTCTAAAAAATGCTGGGTTGTTTTAACCCAACTTTGGGTCAAATATGGACTAACCCAGCCGTTGGGTTAAATTTTTACATTACATTTTTAACCCAACATTTCGGGTTTGTCCATATTTGACCCAAAATTGGGTTAAAACAACCCAGCATTTTTTAGAGTGAACCATGGCGTTGTGGTACAGATTATGAGAGAGGCTCTATCAGAGCAGGGCAAGGGTTTACGAGTGTGCCTGAAACTGAAAAACCAAATGCATTGCAGGGGAACCGCAGGGGGAGGGACTTGCTAGTTACCTTTGCCCTGAGCAAGGTTCCTGTTGAAGCCCAGAGGGCTGATGTACTCAAACATGAAGACAGCCATTGCAGTCACCAGCAGCAGCATCACAAACATCATCACCCACACAGACGCACTGAAGGGCTCTGCGGCAAGCGAAGAGAAGGAGAAGCAAGAGACAGGTAGATCAGTGGGGAAAACCACACAGTCAGCGATTATCATGCAGGCTTTCTGCATGGTATGTGACTATAGGCAAGCTTAAGAGATTAAAGAGCTTTACCATGGGAAGTAAATGGGAAACTGGCAAGTGTCCATTGGGGAGGACCCTATAATTATTGGCCTTATGCTAATTAAATAATGGCTTGCTGATCTAGTGCCATCAAACATAAAGAAGCACTCAGGGTGCTATGAATCTAAAAGCGGTCCACTTCAGCAGATTTATGGATTTACTCTATTGGCCTGTTGGATCTGTGCTTTGATTGGTGAGAAGACCTCAATATTTTGACAGGTGGAAATAAGAGGCACCTCTCACGATCATCAGGGCTGCTGTGCCCTGCAGATAGTTACCTAAAAACGCTGATGGAGAGACAGTTCCGTTGCTACGGGATACCATCACACTAATCCCCGTTTCCACGAAGGGGACGGAGAAATCGATGACCTCTGAGCGCTCCTCATTGATTGTCAGGGAGCCCACGGCCATGACTGCTTTTTTGGTCAACACCTGTGGCAGAAGACACGACAACAAAAAGGTTTAGACAAGGTTATATACAGAACCAAACCAAATTTTTGAGTTTCAACAGCATTTCACTCTTTTTGGATCCAAATTGTACAAATATAAAGCTCCTTTCCCCAATTTCACATTTGATTGCTATCAGGTATTTGAGTGATTATTTCCAGTCTAGAGAAAGAGAGAGAAGCTCGCTCTGTAAACACTTCATTCAGTCTAACCTTTGATTAGTTCTGTAAATGGAAAAGCAGATTTGGCTATTTAAATCTTCTCACCTCTCCCACCATGCCATTCCACACATTGTTGATCTTCTTCCCGTGCTTCCCGTTGGTCACTAGATAAAGGTCATAGGTGAACTTCACATTCCGAGCAATTTTCTTGAGTATGTCGATGCAGAAGCCTTTGCAGCACTTTTTGATGTATGTTCCTCCTCCCTCGGTGGTGTTGCTGATGAATAGAGCACATTAATCAATGCTCAACTTTAAGCAAAAAATCTGAATCATGATGTCAGGACCATTTCACACTTAGGCCGTGTGTTTTCAATTGTTTTCAATGGGAGCGCCACATTTTTTTAAACGCCATGAGCGTACCGAGGCGCTGAGCGTTTTTTTCACACTAGTCGCTGGGAGTTGAAAATGTTCAACTTTGGATAAAACGCAGCGCTCATCACTGTCACTTTTTACCCAGCCGTCCAATCACAGTGGAGGAGGGGCGGGACTAATACCACACCGACCAACTGTCACAACATTCAAACTTCAGCAGAGCATCTAGCGTTTTTCAGCTGGCTAAAAACGCTTTGGTGGACACACGGCCTTAGCTGACTGATGCATGTATGGGGAGATACAGTACAGTATGGCATGTGTTGCAATGAACATTCATAGCAGTGAGAAATGCAAAGTTTTGTGCATTAAAAAATACAGCAGTCACTCTTGAAATTGCAATGACTGAGCAAAAACAACAACAACAATACCATTCAAAAGTTTGGGGTCAGTTTTTCTTAAGTCAGTTTAAAAAATACATGTAACGTACAAGAATGCATTCAATTGATTATTAAAATTGTATTTCTATTCAAAGAATCATGAAAAAAAGTATCATGGTTTCCACAAAAAAGCAGCACAACTGTTTTAACGTTGATAATAATAAGAAAACTTTCTTGAACATCAAATTATTGTGATTTTAGAAGAAACATGTGACAATGAAGAATGGATTAATGATGCTGAAAATTTACCTTTGCCATCACATGACTAAAATTACATTATATGGTTACTTTAACTTGTAATATTATTACTGTTTTTACTGTATCAAATGAATGCAGCCTTGGTGAGCAAAAGAGACGTCTTTACAATATAGAGTGTATATATATAATTGTACTGACCCCAAACGTCCTAAAGGCAGTGTAGATAATAAGAGTTTAATCCATTTTAAGTCAGACATTTTTAACAAAAAAAAATGTTAACACCTACAAACACTTATTACTAAACTATAATTTACAAAAGTGCCTTTTGTTTTAAAGAAACATGTTCTCTGGAACATAATTTACGGGTTACCCAAATAATTTTGTCACAACTCTGAGTTTTTCCGAGTAAATTCAGAAAAGTCAGTGTTAACAAAGACATTTAGTACTTAGAGTGATCAGAATGTCAAGTCTCTGGTTTAATTACTAATGACTTTAAACTATGCCATTGTTACTTCATGTTTATGAATCACAAAAAAAGGTAAAAACACAACTCTCACAAAAAACATTATGAGCGAAATGACAGTTTTTATCTTTGTAGACCTCATTTAGTATAGTTAAGCCGGGGACACTAAGGCCAATTATGAATGTAATTTGATACTTACAACTGATCATGTCCAAACGTGTTCAGTCGGTGTGTTCAGTCGGTGTTTAAAATCAGCTCATTGGAAACAGTCTGTAAGTGTGTTCAGTTCAGTCTTAGAATGTTTCAGCTAGTCGTAAATTGTGTCCCCGGCATAACAGTATATTGGATATGTGAGCTTCACATGATTTTCACTGCATGTATAACCAATCTCTGTGTAAACAAAACAGGATTAAGCACTCAGAAGAGGAGTCACAATCATATTTAGCTGCAGTGTGTCTAAAGCATATTTTGGACAGCTGTCTGCTTGCGCAGATCAAGCTCTAGCTGGGAATACAGTACAGTAGGTACAGTATAGTCTGCTGAAGCATGAACGATAGAGCCTTTTTCTGCCGGCAGTGGAGATATTTCTTAATTACAATGAATAGAAGGGCTTTCCCACGAGAGCCACTCTGTGAGTTGTCGAGGGAGTGCCAAACCTCTGGTGAAAATTGCAGTTGGCTGGAGATTTCTGATGCCTCGTAAAGACCACCACCAATCTGTGCCGACTTAATTGCAAAGGGGTTCCTGTTTTCCCGAGTGAGGAGGAGGACAAATCTATTTAAAGGCAGTCAAGATTATTATTTTATTTGGACTTGGGGAGAAGGTCCTCTTCTTAGACACAGTCAGGAGGCGTTGACTGGAGTAGGACCTACATTACTCCAGCTTATGTCTAGTGTTCATATTATCATTCACCCCTTTATTCATTTCTCAGTTCCTCACCCAAACAAATATCCTGTTTACAACCTGGTATTAAAATCTGTCTGGTGTAATCCAATCCCAAATGGTTAGCCAGACACATTGAATTGTATCCCTGGTAGGGACTATGAGTGTTAAAATGAAGGCTTATGACATTACAATTGATCCATTTATTTATTCACTTTTATCAAATAAAAATGTAAATAAATAAATCACTTCAATCTTGCCAAATGGCACAAGTTTAACTATATATATATTTATTTGTTTATTCATAAGTGGTTTATATAAAAAAAATCTTAATACATTTATTATTTTTATTTTTTAATTGATGCATTTAATTCACATTTATAAGTGGCACTCCTTGTCCTCCATATACACCTGTATTTAACACTGTTACTTGATCAGATGTTTTTAACATGCTCAGATTTACAAGAGTTGTCCATATGTTTTATTTGCACTCAAATAGATCTTTAAACTTGAGTCAGGGACACGTGAAACTTTTGCTTTTTTCCAAGACAATTTACAACACTTATTACAGGGACAGTCCTCCTGGAGCAGCCCGGGGTTAAATGCTTTGCTCAAGGGCACAATGGCAGTGGTTAATGGACTGTCTCTTCTTGGGTTAAAACTTACAATATTTTGGTTAACAGCTCAGATGCTTAAGCACATATCTGCACAACATCCTCTCTGGGGGAGGCATGTTTTGGACATAATTATAGAGCTTAAAGCAAATATAGCACTATATACAGGACAGAGCTGCATTAGTAATCAAGCCACCATCTGAGTGAGTGGAGAATCACCACTGTGGAGTTCATACAGACCAAAGCCACCTGGGAGCCTCATTTGACTTTTACATTTAATTAAGACTCAGCTTTCTGTGTTCTTTAAACAGATCAACACTTAGAGAGAAAACCAACCCACTTATGAATATACTTTGTCTCCCATGTGATTGCTCCCATGTGCACCAATTCCTTCTTCACCGTGAACTATCCCCATGCATTTGTCCCCCTGATGTAATCTGATGTAGACAGCTATAAATATCAGTTACTTCAAAATAATGCAAAATGTATAAATGCTTCCGGCCATGTATGGCCAGAGAAAGCACGTGCGCATTGCATAAGCCTGGGGAATAAATACTAAGGAACAGAATAGAATAGAATACATTTATAATCAATTACAGTGCTCACTGATTGCCCTAAAGCTGTTCTACAACCAATATCTGAACAAAATAAATTAGTCTACAATACAGAGACAATGCAGTCTACAGAAAAACTGAAAAGCTGAGCAATAAAATGTGTGTTCCCAGCTATTGTGTTTTGATGGGAAGCTTATTGTAAAGCCAGCCTAGCACTGATCGCATAAAAGCAGAGGAGTGTTTTTGGCAGCATGAAGTGGCCGAATGCCTTCTGACTGCAGAATTTAACAAACTTTACTGTCTCCACAATGAGAGAGACACACATTCGACTGCCTAGGCAAAATCCAGTTTAAAATCAATCTCTTCCCCTCTGTGCTGGCTATGACGCACACAATGAATTCCCCTGGCTCCTGCAGTGACTCTATTCAAACTCTCACATGGCAGAATCCATATTATTACAAGGTCTTGTTCACATTTCGATTACTCCAGCGGCAATAAGAAGGGATCCCTTATGTTACCAGACCACTTCCTCCCTGCATTTACTACACCAATTGCATTCTTATGAAGACACACTGTCCGCCATGTTTGTTCCTTCTTTTAGAAAAATATGGCATGCTAATGTGGTCACTTGTCAAGACAACACAGTGTGTAAATACACATGGATACTCTAGTTATACACTAGTTATACTCTACTTGACAACAGGTTTCAGATATCTGAATTCTTGACATTTGCTTTGAAAGCACAAATATCTCAATGGCGCAAGAGTGATCTTGAATTGTTTGCATTTGTGTGTGTGTGTGTGTGTGTCCTGGTCACTGAGGGATGTTTCCTCTGTCTGTGGCTTGTCAAGCTGGCACTGGATCAGTTTCTGCATACAGACTTCAGTGGCAGCTGAAGTAAGGGTAAAATAACAGCTGAGGATACCATCATCAGGTTGATCTCTTTATTAGTGTTAAACTCTCTATATGTCAGACTAGGCCAAAAAAAACAAACAAAAGAACTTCACATTAATATAGTTAATTATTTTGAAATTAAAGGATTAGTTCACTCATAAAGATACAATTTGACTTTCTTTTTTCATGAAAAAAAAAAGAAGACATTTTGAAGATCTACTTATTTTTAGGTCATACTTTTCTGTGCTATTACAATGAATAGGGACTGGAAGCATTCAAGGTTTAAAAAAATTCAAACCCATTGTTTTTTTGTTTGTTTTGTTTTCCATGTTTATTTTATCCTGCCATATGCCCCCCTTGTGAATGTGTCCTGTTCTAAATGGTTGATTCATGTCATGTCATGTTTTTTTTTTCTATTTTCTGATTGATTTATTGTCTTTTTTACAGGTGTTTCTTATTGCTCATTAGTCTTTGTACTGTATGTACAGTTTATTGAAGGGGGTGGATTGGAATCCACTGCTGCTTCAATGTATGTAATGATGAGTAATTATAATCAAGGTATTAATCAATATTTTCTTTCATATCAAATGAGTTGAATGACTTCTCTAGGCTTGTGAGATTTTACTTTGTTATAGAAGTTACTAGTGTGATGTTCTTTTCATGTATTTTCTAATGTCTGTATTTGATATCTGAATGCAGTATAACAATGAAAATAATAGGGAAAGATGGAATTGTTTTGTGTTTGAAAAAGGTCTCCAAAGTGTTAAAACATAAAGGGGTCATTGAAGCCAATAGTTTAAGTGACCATCTTTGTTAAAGTCTTAAAGTTTAGCTATCCTTGAGTGAAAGAAGGCATTATCTTG